CCCCAAAACCCCAAAACCCCAAAACCCCAATCCCTCAAACCTTATGTTGAATATTAAAACTCAATACAGCATATAAATGGAGTTTAGTGTATGAGGAATGGAGTATTTTATATACTTGCAGTGGCATTTATCACTTAATTGCAGATTTATATCATAAGAAGTTAGCTTTGTGATGATCCTTGCGATATATTGAGACTTATCCATGCTGTTTTTAGCCATAAGACACCCCAACTTGTCATAGGTTAGGTTGATCATTTTGTTAGGGATATGTAAAAAATTATCATAATGTTTCTTCTAAAATTTAAAGCAAAATTTCTTTACTTTCTCCAAGAAAATGCTTCAAATTTTATACTAATACTGATTAGATATCAACTGAAATAAAACTTTAAAATACTCAGCAAAATTTAAGTTAAATTGACAACAATTTTCTTCCTTGTTATTATCAGAGCCCTAATCTCCGCAAGTTAAGCTATCTTCAACTTCTCTATCATAAAGACTAGTCCTCATCCAATTGGCAGAATTATGATATCTATAATAAATTATAAAAGTAAAAACACCTAACGGATCCTATAGTATCGAATGCTAACTTGATTTCATTACTCTCAAAGAAAGCAGAAGAAATTCTCTGTTTCCTTACCTGCTGCAAAGATTCTTTGGTATTGATGAATCCTGCTCAGCACAAAAATTCTGTCGCTACCATAGGGCCTATTATTCATACGAAATGTATACACCGAGGCTGGTGTTAACACCCTCAGGAGTATGTCTTGAGTTATAAATTTACTACTAAGTTCATAATATGGATGACACCATTTTTAAGGTAAAATATTTACTAAAATTCTTAACAAGTTAGGAGGAGTACTTCCTAAGGGATTCTTGCGAGGAAGAGTTTTGGCTGATAAATGGGAGTCAGCGGAGCTGAAGAGTTTTTATGAGTGGTAGTAATGAGCGATTTAGGAGCGTATTTAGTAAGATCCTAGTAGAAGTCAGGGATTGGGTAATATCTGTGGTAAGACTTGAAGCGTTTTAGTAGTACTCCAATAGGTTTTAGAGAGGTTAACGGACTTAATTTGCAGTGTTTCAAAATATTCATGGTCTTAAGCCAGAGTCATGGCTAAGGATGACTCATCATAAAATACTGAACAGCAGAAATGACTTCTTCAGCATACAGAATGAAGCTAAAGTTTGTTTTGATCTCGATGAAAGCCAATGAATACCTTCTAGCAAGAATCTTAGAGGTTATTTAGCCGTAGCAAGGCTAATCCTACCACTCTTTTCTAAAGAGTTTTTTTCTTATTTTCAGTAAAACTTTTATTCATTTATAAAATGGAGCACAAACTGTTTCAGATGCTAAAGAAGAAATGATCATGACTTACCCTGAAAATGAATTAATTTTTATACAAAATTATGGAAAATTAGAAGATGATAAGCTCCATTTTTCATTGTCATGAGGCAAAGTCAGCCGAGTAGAACAGAATTGAAGATCAAAATACCTCCAAAGTTTAATAAAGCATGAAAATGTTAATAAAGTTGCAAATTTACTTGGATCTTTCTATACAACTCATATATATTGTTTCCTGAAATTTTTCAAAAATTCAAAATTTCCCAAATCGCAAACTCAACTTCCACAGATGCTTTCTTACCTATTCGAAAGCCTGAGAACTCTCCATGCAACATGCTGGCTATAATATCCGAAACACTTTATGTTAATCTAGCACTTCAAAAGTTGCTTTAACAAAACCTCTATTGTAACTCCCCTCAGGGACTTTTACATATTTTCTAAAATTTGAATAAAAGTTTAAAAATTCCTAAAAATTTTCATAATATTTTATGAGAAATTAGATATACTTATCCAGCCATTCTCAAATCCAGGCTAGTCCTCCTTTCAAGAGATTAGTAGTTGGAGGATCTCACAAGAAGGAATATCTCTGAGCAACTTAGACTTCCTTCTTGGGGAATTTGATTTATAAGTGCTTGGTTTGGCCCTCTTGCAACGAGGATTTGACTTTGAGCATGTCTTGTACTTTTTAAGCTTGTCATTCACAGCCAAGGAATCTTTGGATATCATCCCTTTGAATGGAGCTACTAAGCTAGCCATCAAGTACTTTTTATGAGGCTTGCCCTTGTTGTTCCTCAGAGTGTTCTCAAACTGATGTGTCACCTTGGGCATCTGTGGCGAGCACTCGTCACTTCCTTCTCATGACACCAAGTCATCACTCCAGATGTCTTTAAGAGAAGGAGGTAAGCACATTTGGGAGTCTGAATTCATTAATTTAATTATTATGAAGTCTATTCAATCATTTCTTATAAAGTTGGGGTTTTGGGGTTTTGGGGTTTTGGGGTTTAGGGGTTTTGGGGTTTTGGGGTTTTGGGG